ACAAAGAGGTCATGAAGAATATATGGACATGACTAAAGTCATCATATTACCCATTAGTCATTAGTTTCACAGTGCTGTGAAAATGAGAGAAACAGCTGGAAGTGGTACAGGAACACAGCGTGGGCCATGTCTATCTCAGATCAATATTTCTAGCTGCCATGGAGGGTATCGCTCTGCAGATATGTCTTTTCTGTATTGCTGAGCTAACTGAGTCAGAGACATTGTTGTAGAGAAGGAGTGGAAAATGGAAGCTTGGTAAGATGTTATCATCCCTGTGGGTAAGTCCGTTCCTTCTTTTTATGACCTTGGAGCAGCAAAGAGGGATCTGAACTAGTTCTTGGTCCTTTTTTGCACTTTGGGCTTCAGTGAGTGTGTGGCTCACTGACAACTCATTTCCTTCACAGACAGGTCTGTCTGGCCATGCTGATGGGTGAGACCCACCCAGAGGCAGCTGGAGAGAACTTTAATCTGATCACCAAAGTTCCTTTGCCCCTATCAGCAGCAGTAGCTGTTTGCTGGCACTTGAAGTTGGAACATCATTGGTGAGGCCAATTTCCCCAATTTCCTAAAAAATAGGGGCTTAACTATCAAAAAGCAGGGTGGCAGGGCTCCAGTTGGTATCAAAATAGAAGCCAAAATAACTTCACAACTAAATAGAGATCAGATGCCAGGTGTTGTCAAAATCCTATACAGAAAATGCACAGATATCAGCTGTGATGAGGCCTGGGATTTTAACATGGTAAAGTATTTTGCTTTTTTTCTTTAGAGAGGAATTTTAAATTTAAGACTTATAGCTCCATTATTTCAGTGAGGAAAAAAGACAACTAATAGTTGCTTGGCCTAAAAGGTTCTGGCAGGAATATTTCAGTCATAAAATATTAGCCAAACATCGTTTTGGATATTCTAATATAAACTGTGTGGGTAACTGAGCACTTCATGCCAGGACAAAGCTTAAAAGCCCCTTCTCAGAGAGGGCCCCCACCTTTCTGGATACTAAGGTTACCAGTTGATAGCACCAACTTTTTGTCTGTGTTGCAAGGAATCACTCAGCTGTGGCTGCTTTTTGCTATCATTTTTTCCCCCTTGTTCAGGAATTTTTGTCAGGAATGCAAGAAAGAAAAAGTTGTTTGTTTTTATTATGGAAGCTTTTATTAGAGATACTAGCGCTAGGGTAATGGACCAGGGTCTGGGATAAAGGGGAGGAACTTAGAAGTGGTGTCCAATAGCAGTTCTCATCCCTGGAGTTGTGTGTCATAATGGGAAGTGGTGGCCTCTAGCCCTGGCTCTGCCACTGCTGTGTGACTCAAGACTATCCATCCATTCAGCGCTTACAGAGCACCCATTCTGTGTCAAACACTATGTTCAGCACTGCGGACACATTGTGAGGAACGAAGAACCTGTTATCCAAACCCACAGCTTTGCTGAATACCATTCCTATGTTTGCAAAGTGAGGACTGCACTACAGTGTGAGCTCTCAAGGCCCTTTACCTCTAGTTCTTGATTCTTTACTTCTCTATGGGAGCAAAATGTGCCCAGAAGAACAATATCAGGAAAAATGGTAGCCACTATTACATACCAGACATTATGCTAACTAACCACTTTTATATACATTGCCTCATTTTGTTTTCTCAAAAATCTCCTAAAATAGATACGTTAGTGTTCATTTTATAGATGAGAAAACTAAGAGTCAGAGAGGTTGAGCTGCCTTTCGTTGTAAGTGAGAAAGAGGCAGAGCCAGACTCAAACTAGGCTTGCTGACCTCAAACCCAGCATTCCTCTTGCCTCTGTTGATGTTTCATATGCTCATTCATCTTCCCTGGACTTTGCTATGGGAGTACTCATGAAACATTTACTTTATCCAACCAGTTTTTCTTTTAGACTATATCATGAGCTCAGTTATTCTCCTAAAACTTTATTTGTAGTAACTGTATTACACCCCATCATGTGGACTGCCATAGTTTAAATACATTGTTCAGGCTCTACAATTAACATGTTTCCCAAAGTCTCTTTAGAAAAACTATTTAAGTATAATCTCACTCAAAGGCCTAGCTTCTGTAGCAAATCAAGCCTGCATGTGCATGCTCAGCCCCAGTTTCAAGGGCTTCCCTTGGCTTTTTTCTTTTTTTTTTCTTTTTTATTTCAATAGCTGCAAAATTCCCTTGGTTTTTTGTTTGTTTGTTTGTTTGTTTTTAGACAGGGTCTCACTTTGTTGCCCAGGCTAGAGTGAGTGCCGTGGTGTCACCCTAGCTCACAGCAACCTCAAACTCCTGGGCTCAAGCGATCCTCTTGCCTCAGCCTCCCGAGTAGCTGGGACTACAGGCATGCGCCACCATGCCTGGCTAATTTTTTCTATATATATATTTTAGTTGGTTAATTAATTTCTTTCTATTTATAGTAGAGACGGGGTCTCACTCTTGCTCAGGCTGGTTTCAAACTCCTGACCTCGAGCAATCTTCCCGCCTCGGCCTCCTAGAGTGCTAGGATTACAGGTGTGAGCCACCGCGCCTGGCCAAATTCCCTTGGTTTTTGACTGGACACTTACATTATTCATGTCTGCTGGGCAGGAGAACCTACTGAATAGACATATTTTTTATTCATACATTCTACCATTTATTCATGTAATAATATTACTCAATTATCTGGTCAGTTGATGCTATAGGTACCCTTCTGGGATCTGGGTTAGTTTAATAGCTAATCATAAAATTAATTGAATTGTAGTTATGATAATTACTTAGTGCTCTAAGCATATAATAAGATCCTGGTCTGGTCTAAGGGTCAGGGATGCTTCCTGAGGAAATGATATTTGAGATGAGCACTGGTTGTCCTGAGGATGTGGCTCTAAGCTCCTTGACTTTTGGTCAATCCTTTTTGAGTAGGTGGTAGTTCTGATGACAGACCCTTGGCAGTCACCTTTACTGAGAGGTGGTTCACACGAAGTCTCCAGAAGTCTCCCTAGAGGTGCACTGTTGCTGTTGCTCCCCATCTTCCCTGTCATGCTGTTGTGGAGATGACTCTGAAGTTCCCTCTTCTGTCTGGGTAGAGTCTCAGTTTCCCACAACTGAATCTGAACACTATCTGATTTCCCATCCATGACTATTTGTTATAGGAAATGGAGCTTAAATAACAAGTTATTTTAAGGTAATTCATCATAGGGAAATATTTTAATCTTTGAATCAGTTATTTTATCTTTGAATCAATTATTTTAAACACTTTCTACTACTGCTGTTTCCATTAATGTGGATAATGATAATGGAAAAGAAAGCAATTGGTATGACAAAGCTACAGTAATCAAAACAGTATGGCATTGGCATAAGGATAGCCATATAGACCAATGGAATAGAATTGAGAGTACAAACATAAGTCTATACATTTATGGCCAATTGATTTTCAAAAAGGGTACCAAGACCATTCAATGGAGAATGAATACTGTCTTCCATAGTTGGTGCTGGGGCAACTTTATATCCACATGCAAAAATATCTGATACCATAGACAAAAATTAACTCAAAATGGACCAATAACCTAAATATAAGAGCTAAAATAATAAAACTCTTTTGAAGAAAACATTGAGAGTAAATCTTCATGATCTTGGATTTGGCCATGAATTCTTAGATATGACACCAAAAGCATGAACAACAATAAAAAATAGATAAATTCAGCTTTATCAAAATTAAAACCTCTTATACATCAAAGGACATTATTCAAATAAAGTGAGAAGACAGCCTACAGAATAGAAGACAGTAATTCCAAATCATACATCTAAAAAGTGTCTAGTATACAGAATAAAGTATTCTTATAAGTCAACAACAAAAAAGACAAACAATCCAATTAAAAAATAGACAAAAAATATGAACAGACATTTCCCCAAAGAATATATACAAATGGCTAACAAGTACATGAAAAGATGCTCATATCATTAGTCATTAAGGAGATGCAAGTCAAAACCACAATGAGGTACCACTTCAAGCCTACTAGGAATTGTTTTTTAATGAAAATCAGTATTGGCAAAGATGTGGAGAAATTGGAGCCCTAGATTGCTGGTGGGTATGCAAAATAGTGTCACAACTGTAGAAAACATTTTGATGGTTCCTTAAAAAACTAAGTATAGAATTACTATATGACCTAGCAATTCTATTCCTAGGCATATATCCAAAAGAATTGAAAACTGATATTCAGACAAATAGATATATGCATGTTCACAGCAGCATTATTCAAAATATTCCAAAAGATGGAAACAATCCAAATATCCATCAACAGATGAATGGATAAACAAAATGTGGTCTACTATCCATTGAATAGGATATTATTCAGCCATAAAAAGGAATGAGGTGCTGATACATGTCACAATGCAGATGAACCTCAAAAACATTACACTAAGTGAAAGAAGCCAGGTACAAAATGCTACATATTATATAATTCCGTTTATACGAAATATTCAGAATAGGCAAATCCATAGGGACACAACACAGATTAGTGATGCCGGGTGCTGGGAGGAGAGGAATATGGGGAGCAACTGCTTAATGGGTACAAGGTTTCCTTTTGGGCTGATCAAAATGTTTTGGAACCAGATACAGTTGGTGGTTGCACTATATTATAAATGGTTAAATGATTTATTGATGTGGCTAATTTTTTTTAAATAAAAAAATTTTTAAGAGATGGGGTCTTGCTATGTTACCCAGGCTGGCCTCAAACTCCTAGGCTCAAGAGATCCTCCCATCTCAGCCTCCTGAGTAGCTAGGATTACAGGTACATGCCCAGCACCCAGCTTAGTGGGTGGTTAATTTTTTGTTATATGAATTTCACCTTAATAAAAATTAAATAATATAGAAACAAATAAAGACTAGATTTATTCTTTCTCTCTTATGTCTACCATATTTTATGGTTAATTTTAAAACATAGTACCAAAATTATGACATACCTTTAGTTATTACCACCCTGGGGTTTTATGAAATATCATGCTAATGAATTCTGCCATCATTTTTACCTATTCTGTACTATTCAGATTTCAGTTCAAGGCTTCAGGAACATTGCGAACAGCTGTTCTGGAATTATGCATCTGACCATCAATGACATGCCAACTCTGACAGACAACTGTGTAAAAGTAGGTGTTTGAAAAGTGCATTTTCTTTTCAGTTCCATTAGATGGACACATATTCTAATGGCTTGTATTATTGAAAAATATGAATGAGTTTTTCATTTTAGTTATTTTTTAATAGTAAGAAAATCATTTAAAAATTTGCAAACACACATACATGTACCCCCAAAACATTTGAATCCTTAAGTAGCCCAAGAAACCTTGTTTAACAGCTAGGATATTTTTTGTTCAGTGATGTTATAACCCAAGCACAAACTTTAAGTTTAGTTCTTTATGTCAAGCTGCCAAATGTAGTGATTTTTTTCAGCATTACATGTTCTCATCTTTTCCCATACTTTTATTACATGATTTAATTCTAATTCTTCTATATTACTCAAATGGAAGTAGAAAATATATTGAAAAATCCATTTTCTTTGAAAATAAGACAATTTAATAATGAGTCAATTTCTGAAAATATTGAGAAAGAAAAAAAAAGTAACCCCATTACCTTGCCAAGCCTACTCCATACATTGTGGATAATTTAATCATCTTTTTTCTTCTAAAGGCTTTGGTTGAAAAGTGCCTTCATATTACATCAGTATCTTTCATTGGAGCACCACATCTCTCCGATGGTGCTTTCCAAGCTCTTTCTACTTGCAACCTCAAAAAGATCCGATTTGAAGGTCTGTGATATTAAAAATGTGGCTCAGCATTAATTTTTACTTTTACTCTTGATACATTATATATATACAATACTTGTCTTTTCTTCTGTTTTATTTCAAACAGGGAATAAAAGAATTACTGACACATGCTTCAAATGTATGGGTAAGAATTTTCCAAATATGAATCACGTTTACATGGTGGACTGCAAAGGCATAACAGACAGTAGCCTCAGGGCACTTTCACCTTTAAAACAACTGACTGTGTTGAATTTGGCAAATTGTGTAAGGTAATGAGTCATTCAATCATATATGCAAGAAACATTTATTATATTGTATGTGCCAGGCCCTTTCCTCAATGGGTAGTGGGGTAAGCGCAAAAGTCAGGAGTTCAAGTGTTAATGTAAAAGGTAAGTGCAGAATTCTGTGGTTACAAGGAGAGCCACCCAACCCAGACTGACTGATTATATGAGGGTCATGGAAATTGTCAAGGAAAGCTCAGGGTACAGGGAATCACAGACCTTTGTAAGATTGAGTGAACTCAGGAATACTTATGGGCTACCTTTCCTGGTGAAGTTCCCACAACTAGTTCAGTTAACAGGTTATTTTCCCATATGGACTTTCTGACTTGCTTATGAGGAACCAATCTTACTGAAAGTTTTCCTCTTGGGTACTGGTTATATTTCTCCTCTATGTGGATTTTCTGACAAATGCACATTGGTGAAGTCTTACTCAAACCCTTTCTTTAGCTGAGCCACTATTGGGCTGCTATCCTGGTATTTTCAGGATGGCAAAGATCAAATTCTTGCTGCAACTTCTCCCCAATGGAAATCTCAGCCTCATACCTGTGTAGATTTCTTACAATCTTCTAGGACCAGATGATAACAAAATAGCACTTGATCCACAGTGAAGCTGGCTAACATTTGGGAAAACACAAGACAAGTGGGAGTAATAAGCTAAGCTACACAGAATCCTAACCTATGTTCCCTATTATTAAAATGGGGGGGAGTACAGCATGGGTCAGCAGGGGTCAGGGGAGACATAATGATTAGAATGGGAAAAATCTGAAATGAGGACTCCAGCTAATAGCCAGCACAGAAATAAGGCCTCATGCTAACAAGTTCCATGTAAGTGAACTTGGAAGCAGACCCTCTGGCCTCACTCACGCCTGCAGATGACTGAAGCCCCAGCTGGCATCTTGACTGCAAGCTCACGAGAGACCCTGAACTAGAACCACCCTAGTCCACTTCCAAATCCTCAAGATCTAGAAACTGGGAGGTAATAAATGTTTTCCATTTAAACCATAAAGTCTGGGGCAATTTATGACATAGTGATAAATAACAGTGACACATACACACACACACACACCCCAGTCGTGTGTGTGTGTGTGTGTGTGTGTGTGTGTACCTAAACAGGTAATTCTATCTGTATGAATATGTGAAATTGAATTTAATTCTTGTATTTCATTCAGGCTTCTGCAGATTAATTAATTTTAAATTAAATGGGAGTTTTCTGCTTCAGATATATAGTTGACAAGATACTTCAAAGGACTCTGCCAAAAACAATTCAGATCCTTGATGAAATGTACTTTTAATACATTGCTGAGCCTATAAAGAATAAGAGAAATATCCAATAGCCCAAAATCCCCTGATTCTGCACCACCCTCTCAACGAAGAGACTTGCTGAAGTCAATAGTGAATAGCGTGCAGACATAAAAGTTTGGGCTGCTCTGAGCATAAATGTTCATGTCAACATTATCATTGAGGAATCAGTTCTAAGCAAGACTCAAAGTAAAGAAGCAGAATCTAAGACTTCTATAGGGTCTGGACTGCTTCAAGGGGAACAAAGTGGTCTTTAGGGGGTAGTAAACCATGCTCCTGGAAGAAGTTAGCACAAAGCTTCTCTGGCTAGAGGTTAAAATCAAATAAATAGGTGCTCACAACTTTTCAAAAAATCTGATATGTAAAGAGCTTAGAATAGGTGCTCATAATTAAAGAGTGCCAAATGCACAAAAATAGGAGCCACCATGAGGAAAAGAAACCAGAAACAGCAAAATAAATTTGACCTTCAGATAATTCAGGTACGACAATTATCAGACTCAGAATCTTAAGTAATTATATATGAAATATTTGACAAAATAAACAAGGGAATCAGGAATATGAGCAGGCAATAAAATATCATAAAAATAACTAGATTGATGTGAACAAATCCAACTTTTATAAATAAAAGATAATATAGTTATTGAAATAAAGAAGTTCAATGGATTGCTGATCAGTAGATTAGAACTCATGGAGGAGAAAAGTATAGAGCTGGGAGATCACACTGAAGAAATGACAGCAAGGATGAAAAAGATGAAAGAGTATAACATGTAGGGTAAAAACAGAAAGTTTAATGTCAGAGTTTCAGATTTTAAAATTTATTTATAAGAGATACACCTAAAATAGTTAAGTTGGAGAGTCAAAGAATATACATTTTTCTCAGATACCCATCATTCTTTTAAAAAATGAACCATGTACAAAGTTTTAGAGCATGTTCCAGCAACTTTCAAACTATTTTTATTAACAAACTGTATTCTTTCACTACAAAGCAATTAACTTAGGAATCAGCAACAAAACGATAAATGAAAAATACACATATGAGACTGGGTATGGTGGCTCACGTCTGTAATCCTAGCACTCTGGGAGGCCGAGGTGAGAGGATCACTTGAGGTCAAGAGTTCAAGACTGAGCAAGAGTGAGACCCCGTCTCTACTAAAAATAGAAAAAATTAGCCAGGTGTAGTGGTACATGCCTGTAGTCCCAGCTACTTGGAAGGCTGAGGCAGGAGGATCTCTTGAGCCCAGGAGTTGGAGGTTGCTATGAGCTAGACTGACACCACGGCACTCCAACTTGGGCTACAGAGCAAGACTCCATCTCAAAAACAAACAAACAAACAAAAACAATGATGACAACAACCTATATATATATATGATTTAAAAGTAAAAATCCCATGGCATTAGAATCACCTGAGGAGCTGAATAAAACTACAGATGCCCAAGCCCCACCCCAGAGCTATTGAATCTGAATCTTTAGGGATGGAACCTCTGCTTGTATATTAAAAAAAAAAAAAAGTAACATGGATGCTTTTGATGCATAGCCAGGTTTGGCCCTAACTGCATTAACCACTTCGATCATTATTGCAATAATCTTTTTCATTGTCTTTTGTTACTTCCTTGATTATGATGTATGTATATATGTTTGTTTTCAGGTTATCTTTTCTGTTCCATTCATTTATCTGTCTTCTATGTGATCTTACACAGTATTTTATCTGCAAAATGGGAAAATAAGAGTACATACCTCAGAGGATTGTCGTTAGGATCAAATAAGTTAATTAACATAATGTGTTTAGAATAGTATCTGGCACATAATAAGCACTTAATAAATGTTATATATTACTGTTATTCCTTTAGAGTGTGTTCTAGTATCTAATAGAATGAAACTCTCCTTACTAGTCTTTAAAAATATTTAAATTTATAATCAACATATAATTATACATATTTATGGGGTACAATGTGTTGTTTCAATGCATGTAGTATAATGATCAAATTGCAGTAATTACCATGCCCATCACTTTAAACATTTATCATTTCTTTGTGGTGACAGCATTCAAAATCTTTTCTTCTAGCTATCTTAAAATATACAATATATTATTACTTGTTATAGTCACCCTACTATATTCCTTATTGTTTTTTTAAGTTAGATATTTTTGCCAGTTTATTCTTCTAGATAAATTTTAGAATAATTTTGTCAGTTCAGAAAAAAATTCTATTGAGATATTAATTAGAATTATGTTAAATATATAAATTAATTTTGGAAAAATACAGTTTTATAATATTTAATTTACTCTTTATCCAAGAATTATTTAAATAAAGGTTCCAATGGAAGACAGAAAAACTGATGGGCTGGGGAGACTTCTAACTGTTTATAAAGCAGGGTTGACATAGTAGGGGTATGGCATTGACACATAGAAGGTGTTTCTAATTAGGACAGTGTGAGAAGGCTGAGGTCAGGGTCTTCTAGCATCAAGTTTTCTCTGATTCAGAAGGAAAGGAGCTGTGACTACTCTTATTGGGTTTCCAGTCCAGCTAAATTGACCTTGTATTTAGTGAAAACTTCATTCTGGCAGTAGTTTGACTGTTAGTTGTGGTTCTCCCTCTCCTAAGTTTGGTCTTTTTCTTTTGCAGGAGATGGTATCAGGCGCTGATTCCCTTGATCACATTTTTACCAAACAGAAAGAGGCCTTAAGAGCTATCTGTCTTATTAAAAATTATGCCACTTAATTAAGTGAAAAAAATGAACAGAAATAACATTTTTATTAATACTTCTTCCATTACTCTCATTTATGCTTTTTCTCTTACATCAAAGGCTACATAATCAAATTTGATTTCAAAATATCAGTATATAGATTACCTTGCTATTTTGGAAATATATTGGGCATAGTAACTATTACTTTAATACCATTCTATATATTCATATATAAAATCACATGTAAACCTTTTCTCACTCTTTCCTACAGAATTGGTGATATAGGACTAAGGAATTTTCTTGATGGTCCTGCGAGCATAAATATAAGAGAACTAAATTTAAGTAACTGTGTGCACCTGAGTGATACCTCTGTTATAAAACTATCAGACCGGTATGTTCAAACAATATTTTATATTATATCATTAGTAATTGTATATCTGATCATAGAGATGAGAGATAGAGCTAAAAGCAAAAACTTCAGGACATTTGGAGAACATTGGAGATGCCCAGAAGCTGGTCCAATATTCAATGAAAACAAATAAGAGACATAAAAGTCATAGACTGAACTAATCTTTTGATTATATATCTCTAAGATGTTTCTTATAAATTTCACCTAAGAGAAAGTTTGAGATGGAGTCAGTCATTCATGAAGTAATGAATATTTAGACATGAGTGACTTCTTTGTACTTTTCATACTATCGCCATATAAACCCTTACTCCAGCATTTCCTAAGGGGTTTTCTGGCTGGTTTATTTATTCTCTACTCCCCTCTTGTCAGAGGTCTTGTGTAATTCCTATAGCAAACTTGTAAAGGATAAGTGAGGAACTTAATTTACACTCACTTTTAGTGGTCATTCATTTTGGTAATTGCATGCTAGTTTTTTGTATGCATCTGATATATCTTTTCTTACTATAATAGAAATTACAATATATAAGTAAATCACAAAAAGAAAGTCTTATATAATAATCTACCTCCCTTTCACCCAATTTTGTAATGCCAAATTATTTTCTACTTTAGACTTGCTTTTATGTTGTGAAAAGGAAAATCCTTGCTTCAATATCATTTGTTTTCCCAAGATTGTTTTTATATGAAGAAATATAAATTGACAATGTGATTGAAAGCTAAAATTAATTCATACTTTCTTTCAGCTGTCCTAATTTACACTACCTGAGTTTACGAAATTTGGAACATTTGACTTACCTAGGAATTGAACATATTATATACATCCTTCCCTTGGTATCAGTAGATCTCTCTGGAACAGACATCTCTAATGAGGTAAGAAAAAATATTCCAAACAGTTCAATTACTTTTATTATTTTCTGTAATATAATCATTTTCCATTTTGTAAACAATGGAAATAACAATTAGTTTTATTTCTTACATTATTAGATTATAAAAGGTAAGTTTGGGGATATTGTTTCTAGAATCGTGATAAATAAGTTTATTTGTAAACCAATAGTCTTGTTTCAGCATTTTAAAAAATAGCAAAATACAAGCTGGGTGCAGTGGCTCATGCCTGTAATCCTAACACTCTGGGAGGCCAAGGTGAGAGGAATGCTTGAGGCCAGGAGTTAGAGACCAGCTCAGGCTGCTCTCTAACTAATATCTAGCTAATATCCCCATCTCTACCAACAATAGAAAAATTAGCCAGGTGTGGTAGCATGTGCCTGTAGTCCTAGCTACTCAGGAGGCTGAGGCAGGAAGATTACTTGAGGTTTGAATTTGAGGTTACAGTGAAATATGATGATATCACTGCACTCTAGCCCAGGTGACAGAGTGAGACCCTGTTTCCAAAAAAAAAAGAAGCTAAATACAGTATTTTGAGGAAAGTCCTGACAAATCAGATTATTTCATGATAACCTGCAATTTGTTTCATTATGGAAGTTTGGTCAATGTGGAGATAATGTATTTTTGATGGCTTAGCTATATTTTTCTTGTAGATTTCACATTCTATAAGACTACCTGAGTGCCTTAAGATCTAAGTCTTTGGTTCAAGACTGAAATCTAGAAATGGCCCATCAAATCTGCAAAAAGACACATTTTAAGGAACACATATCCCACAGGCTGATGATGCTACTCATTAGAGTTGACACTCAGGCCACACCTATCCTACTGTTCTGGAGTTGTCCCATTTACTAATCAAAAGGAGAACAGACCCCAAGAGATTGGCCATGTTTCTGAAAGACTTTAATGGGCTATAGTTAGGAAAGGAATGTACAGGCTTCTCTTAAAAATCAGTGCATTGGGAGGGATATTGAAGGTCAACAGAGATGAAGATCCCTTCCCCATTTGCTTACTAAAATCCCCATTCAAATAGCTCCTGTCTGTGAGGGCCTTCTCTGAGAAGCCCCACAGCACTGGAACTTCTCTATGTGCATCTCCAGTGCCAGTGCCTTCTTCAACAAGAGCTGTTTCTCACTACATTAAAGACATCTGTCTTATATGTCCATTCTTCCCCAACATTAGTGGGCTCTTTTAGGTGAAGTACTGTGTCTGTTCATTGACCCACTTTGCTTTCTTTATTATTTTGTATGAATGATCTTGAATTAAACCTCCACTCTGCTACATTATCTCCTCTTCCATTCCATGTCATCTAAGTGTGATATGAGAGTGGAGTAGGGAGCAATTACATGTAGTCAGCTCATTTTGGTGGGGTCAGTGTCTGTCTTTTCACTGTTGTCTTATGTGCAAGCTGTAATTCACTGAGATGTGGGAGAGCCCGTTGGTCTTTATTTTCCTGTCCAGGTGGATCCTTGATGTATCTTCCTTATTCCAACTCCAAAGCCTCTTCCTGTCTTCCGGCTCTCTTGTCATGTCTGCCTGGTTCAAAGCCCCTCTGGGCACGCTGGGGCGGGGCGATCCTGTGACACTTAGGTCCACAGTCTGAGACACCCCCTGCAGACATTTCCTGCTCCCATATCACAGATGTGTTTGCCCACAGACCTGTGCCTTACCCTCCCCTTGCTCTGCTACGGAGTGGCTCACCCATGTCAGCTAGATTCCAAATTGGGTTTGATGCTTGTGAGGGCTTTGTGAGTGATTAAAGGGTCAGTAGAAAGGAGAGGCCAGCATCTTCCTTTACCTTTCTTTGTGTCATCTCATCAGCTGCATTTCCTTTGTGGTCTATTCCCTCTGAACAGGCCTGCTGTGATGTCAGCTTCCCTCTGGGGACCTTGGCCCCTGGGCTTCGAAAATACCATCTCTTCCTATTGTCCTTCCAGCATAGGTGTAGTAGTGGCTTCCTATTGCTGCTAATTTCTAGATTTTGTCATTATCCCATTTGGTTTTTCAGTTTCTCTACCACCTATGTAGCCAATTCATGTTAAAATTAAATTTCCTAAGTTGTTTTTGTTTTTCTGATTGGATCTTAACTGATCCAATGATGAGCATAGGGAAACTCTGATGTCTTGTTGCTTTTTTACAACTCTACTAGGGAAAGATAGTATGGACACCCAGTTACTTTTAGATCTCCAAACCTATCTGGAGGTGCCAACTCTCTGTCCAGCTGTATTGAGCCTGTGAAGGTCTAGAACAGACCCTTATGTGGGGAATTCCTCGGCATCTCATCCTTTGCTCCCCTCTGGCTCTCTCTTCCCTCCTTGTTCTTCTTTTCTCTCCTTTCCTCCATCATCCTCTCCTCTCTCCCTCCCTGTCTTCTTTTCCCCTCTCTCATCTCCTCTCTTCTCATATTTATTCCTCTACTTTTCTCTTGACAAAGATTCTTTATCTAATCTGGGGGTGGAAAAAATGTTCCAGCTGATTACGTGGTTTTGGAAAATGTTATGCCCCAAGTCGTTCAGGGCTCGGGCTTTTGAAGCTTAAAGGCTCAGGATTTTTTTCTCCTGTGTTCTTTGTAAGAATCTTTCCCTGACACATATGAGTAGAATGGCCAGCTGTTGTTTGAAGGGTCATGGAGTAACAAGAAGTAGAGGATCAAAGCATATTATAAAACACATCAAAATATAGTTCTACCACAGCACTTAACTCAAGCCTGTAGTGCCTGGAATGAAGGTTAAGCACCCTATCTTAGTGATTAGCATTTGGGAAAAACTCAGATTTTATTTTCAAAGACTGTATATTAAAATTTTATCTACTGAGGACAAGTTAAAAACTTAGGTATATAGCCTCAAGTTTCATTCTCTGTTTTTATTTTCTTCTGAAAAATATATATAATTTGAGAGAATTGTAAATGGACATCTATGGGTAAGAATGCTGGTTTTCTTCCTTGCTAAAATATTGAAAAAGAAGTCTTTTGAAGGTTATTATTTTTTTCCTCTTGTTCAGTTAAACTGATCTAAAAAGCAAATGATTGACAATTTCAGTGCTACGACAGCTGTGGAAGCTAACTCCAAACAGTCAAATTAAAATGAGTCAGCCCGGATGTCAGCTTGGGCAGCTAAACACCAGCCTACATTGTAGGTCTGATGAAGTGCAAATTTGACTGCAGACTTAACATTTGGGATTTAAGCTCTGGAATGTTACAGATAGTCACCAAAGAGCAAATATGATCAATTGTGCCTTTGGGGGGGAAAAAGTTTCTCATATTTTCTAATAATTATATTCATTCTCAGTTCTTCTCAATGGTGAGTTTTTAGGTAGAATCACACAATTCATTTAGTTAACAAATATTTATTTGACTACATTGTACTCAGTGCTGGGGATGCTGGAATGAGCAAAACAACATGGTCTCTCCTCCTAGAACTTACATTCTGGTGGGAAGATAGCCATGGGGCAGGTGGTTACAAAGTATGATGAGTATGGGAGACAGGAGAAGGGATATCTAACCTGACTCAGAGGGTCAAGGAGGATCTTCTTTTCCCAGAGAAGAAGGGGTGTTTTATGAGCCAAATAAATAGCTTGCAGAGAAAGGCATAGAGGTTTAAAATTGTGATGACATTAAGAAATGCACACATTTTGATATAACTTGATGGTGAGGAGAGTGACAAGATGTTTGAGAGGTGGACAGGGGCCAGGTCATTGGGGGCCCAGAAGCTACATTAAGGAATCTGGTCTCTGTCTTTTTGGTCATGGAAGGACATTCAGTATTGTCAATTAGAATAGTACCATGGTCAGATTTACATTCTAACAAGATCACTCTATCTGGTATACAGACATGGGAATAATAGATGCATAGTGACTAATTATAAAGCAGTCATTCAGGTGAAAAGTTATGAAGGGCTAAAGCCAGGGAGATGGCAATAGGCACAAGGCAGAGTCAGCACATTTGAGATAGACTGAAGAGGAAGAATCAACAGGAGATAGACTGAGAGTGTGGGTAGGGAAGAGAGAGGGGGTCAAGGATAACACCAGATTTTTGGCTTAAGCATCTAGATAAAGGGTGGTGACTCAGGATTCCTGAGTTGTGTGTCCCTTACATAGTTGGGGGAGCACATTTGCTGCAGGTTGGGAAAATGGGCATGTTTAGTTTGAGTCATCTGCAAGACAGCTTTATATAGATATAGAGAAGCTCAGGAAATAAGCAGAAAAATAATTGAAATTCACTCCTCAGAGGTAGAAGAGCTCTTTGGAATTGCAGAGGGTGAAGGTGTGTTGCATTCTGAAAATCTTGGAAACTCATGAAGAAGTTAATCAGGAAAGGCAAAAATCTAGGTCTTTAGAAATCTAGAAAGGTATTGAATTGAGAGAGATAATTTAAATGGGGGAAGCAAAGAGAAAAACACAGTCATTTCAAAATTTATGTTTCTTATAATAATTTTATTGTCCTTAGTCATTCTTTTTGTGAAAAATAGTGAACAATTTTTATATCATCCAGATAAAAGTTGTTTAAGAGGTTATATAATAAGTATAGATTAGGGAAAGAGGAAATATGTCAGTCTGCCTCTTCTAAGCTAAAGAAGAGAGAGTTGTAATGAGGGAAATAGCTTACTCATGTGATGACTTAAGGTATCTTTAGAAATCTTTAATCTACAACTTTTTAAATGTCTAATTAAATGGGATGGTATTCATTCCTTTCCTATCCCAGAGGATAGGAAAGATGAGGTTATATCTCCGTGTATATGGTAAAATGTTTTCTGCTAGGTAATAGAATTGTCATTTACTGAAGACCACAGGATCCACAGTGAGGGGAGTTCAGTCTGTTGCTTATGTTGCCTTAGTCACCACCATATTTGTTGTTCAAAGGAAAAATGAGTCAGAGCAATGTTCCAGACGGTGTGCTTAGACAGTGGTTTAAGAGGACTCTTTCATTTGACAGATTTTCAAAATTTTTCATTATGAGTACTAGATATTGAGTGCCTGGTTGTCTAGGCAGTCTC